TCGTCGTCGTCGTCGACGTCCGTCGTCGTCGTCGTCGTCGCCGTCTTCGTCGACGTCGTCGTCGTCGTCGTCTCGTCGCCGTCGTCGTCGTCGTCGTCGTCGTCGTCGTCGTCGTCGTCGTCGTCTCGTCGTCGTCGTCGTCGTCGTCGTCGGCGTCGTCGACTCATTAACTACAGCGGGCCTGCGCAGCCCCCCCACATCGGGCATCCGCAGTGCGTCGTCGTCGTCGCCGCCGTCGCCGTCTGCCTTCTGCCTTCCGCCGTCCGTCGTCCTCGTCCTCGTCCTCCTCCTCGTCCTCGTCCTCGTCCTCGTCCTCCTCGTCCTCGTCCTCGTCTGCCGTCCTCGTCTTCGTCCTCTGCCTCGCCGTCGTCGTCGTCGTCGTGGCTGTCGTCGTCGTCGTCGGCGGCGACGGACACCACGTCAGCGGGGGGGAGGAGGACTGCCCGCCTTGCTCGGGTCGCACGAAGGGCTGGGGACGGAGAAGGGGGCCTGCGAAGCCTGCTGCGCGCAGCTGCTTTTCCCGTCGCCCCGCCGAGGGGGCCAGTCCTCGAGGCGTGGCCTCTCTCGGCGCCAGGGGGCGCTCGGAAAATCAGCAGTGTGCGCTGCTGGGCAAATCCCCGTCGTCGTCGTCGTCGTCGTCGTCGTCGTCGTCGTCGTCGTCGTCGTCGTCGTCGTCGTCGTCGTCGTCGTCGTCTCGTCGTCGTCGTCGTCGTCGTCGTCGTCGTCGTCGTCGTCGCGGCCCCGCGAGGCAGCTGGCGCCCGCCTGGCTGCGGCAAGGGCAGAGGAAGCGCATCGGGTCGACGGAAGAGCGCACGGAGAGTGCGGGGGCGAGCGCCGACAGCAGTGCTCCTTCATGTCGAGCAGGTGTCGCCCTGGTTCACGCTCCCTGCTTCTGCCGCCGTTGCTTCCCGCCCCCCTCCCCTTCCCCAGTCTGTGCTGCCTGTCGCCTGTTCGCTGGCGGTTGGGCGTCGGCGTTAATCACCGGCGCCGCCGCCGTTGATTTTCAATCTGGTGGGCGCCGACCTGTGATTTGCCCGAGCAGGGGGACAATTTTTCAAAACACGCGCCCCTACGGATTTGTTAGCCACACGCACTACACGAGCAGAAAAATCCCTTACCTCTAATGCTCCTGGCCTTCCTAACTTCGGGCCCTTTCCCAGGGGTCTAGGGCGTTTTGGGCCAATCACTTGCGAGCCCCGTCGCTTACTAAGAGAATCGCGGCGGAGGTTTTCTGATATATTCGGCGTCCGGGGGGCACTTGCCGGGCCCAGGGGCCGTCAAAAAATGGCTGGGGCTGAACAAAACAACAGACCCAGGGGAAAGGGTGGGGACTTCCAGAGGCCGCGTACATTAGTGAGAAGATCAACGCATGTCGCAGGTCTGGGCCTGCGGCCGCTTGCGAACCCGATCCCCGCGGGTCCGATCGGCGCTGGGGTGTCGGACGCTCCCGCTCGGGCCCGCTTGGCTGCAGGCACCCTTGAAACTTTCAGCCCCTGCCAGTTTTCCAGACATCTGCCCTGTGGGGGGGGGGTGCGCGCGCGTTTGCCTAGGCGACGGCGCCGCCCGCTAGCGCACGCGAGGGCGGACCCTCGAGCCAGATCTCCGACGGTTGGATTGTGTTCAATCCTGGCGCACTTTCGTTTCCCCCCCGGTTTCGGGAAATACGGGGCTGTTTCCAGGCCCCCGGATCCCCGACGTCGTGATAGCGTTGGTCTTGAAGGAATTGCCCCCGGACCCCCGACGTCGTGATAGCGTTGGCCCCCGGATGTCTCGACCCATTCACCGGTACCGGCTTCTCGTCCCCAGTTGTCTTCTGACGCCCTCGAGGCCCAGTGAGGGCCCCCCGAGGCAAAAATTAGACCAACGAGCTATGTGCCGTCATGATTTCTTCATGGCCCGAGGGGGCCTGGGTCCCCATGCAGGCCAGCGTTCGGGACCTCCGGGGCCGCGGATTGGAACATCGCACCGTGGGGCGTCAAGGGACGACGACGGCGGCGGCTGCAGCGGATGCGGAGGCGGGGCAGGTGGCCGGCGTGGCGGGCTGGTGGCAGGGCTCTCTTGGTTTCTGTTGGCCTCCGAGGTGGTTGAGGGTCACGGGTCCTGGACCCAAGGGCTTTCCCGAGGACGAGCTTTTCATATATCGAATATCCCCGGAACTGATTCTTTCTCCCCTGTGCATTTATTATGTGTGAATTCGAAAAGAAAAACGAATCCGAGGTAAGTCAATTATGTAGTCAATCCCCTACTCGAAGTTTTGAGCAATTTTATGACGTGTCCGGGGCCCGTGTGCTGCCAGGGGCCCGTGTGCGGTGCGACGGCTGCCCGCCCGACACTGATGGGCACAGGTGGCAAGCTGGACAGCCCATCCCCGGCATGTACGGCCACGCCGCAGACCCTGAAGGCCTCCGCGCTGGCCTAACCCTGGTGCATGGGCTTTCACCAGTCCAGCTCATGAAAGAGATGTTCCTGTCCAAGCGCTGGCACGCAGGCTGGGTACTGCGAGGACTGCCTGATCCACCAATCGGACATGGCCCCGTCTGCAGTGCGACGCGTGCTCGATAAGTACGGCCATGCGGTTTTCCCTGGCCCCGGAGCCAAGCCCCTCGTCGCGCTACCTGGAATCCCTGCCGCCCCTACGGGGGCCGCACTGCGCCCCAGCCAGCAGGACGTGCAACGGCGAGCTGCCGCGTGGGATCAGGAGGCGCGCGCCAACCAGGAGCGCCTTCGGGGCGCACCGCCGCCTCAGCCGAACGACGAGCGACTCCTCCGACGCTCCTGGACGCGAAGGATGGCGGCCAGGGCGACGCACGTACGGGTCGTGGCACAGATGAGAGGCCAGGACGCCGGAGGCGCAGGCAGCGGCGAGGCCAAACCTGCAGACACGGCTGCCAGCGCGGCAGCACAGCAAGCCCCGCAGCCTGCGACTGGCAGCGGATCCCAGCAGGATGGCGTTCCTTTGCCAGTCGGGCGCAACGCCCGTACCCCTGACCCCACGTGCAGCCCAAGGCCCAGCAAGAACCGGCGCCTGACGCCCACCGATCAGTCCAACAGCCCCCGTACGGCCCTCCGCCAGTGGGCTCCCCAGGTACCTGTCTGGGCTCGGCGCAGCCAAGACGGCCCAAGAGGGCCCCCAGAGCCCCCAGAACGTTTCAAAACGGCCCCATCACGGCTCCTGAGGCGCCCATGGCGGCCCAAGAGACGGCCCAAGGGCCCCAAGCGGCCCCCAAACCCGTCAAAACGGCCCCAGCACGGCTCCTGAGGCGCCCATGGCGGCCCACCAGGCACCCAAACCAGCCCCAAGAGCGAGATGCCCCCAAGATCGGCCGAAGGAGCCCCCATGAGGGCCCCAGGACAGCCCAAGACGACCCCAGGACGGCCCAAGAGGCGCTCAAGACGGCCACAGGCGCCCAAGACGGCCCCAGACGGTCCCAAGATGACCCGAGACGCACCCAAGACGGCCCAAGACCGCCCCAAGAGCCCAAGAGGATTGCAAGAGGCTCCAAAACGCACCAAGACAACCCCATCACGGCTCCTGAGGCGCCCTTGGCGGGCCAAGAGGCACGCAAATCAGCCGCACACACAGACGCACACACAAATACACACAGACACATAGACACACAGGCACACAGACAAACCCACAGACAGACGCACACAGACACACACGCGCAGACACAGACACAGACACACACACACACACACACACACACACGCGCGCAGACAACAAACACACACAAACACGAACACGAACACGAACACAAACACAAACACAATCACAGACACAAACGCAAATACGAAGACGAACACGAACACAAACACACACAAACACAAACACAACCACCAACACCAACACCAACACCAACACCACCACGCACACGCACATGCACATGCAAATGCACACGCACACGCACACGCACACGCACACGCACACGCACACGCACACGCACACGCACACACACGCAGACACACTCACACTCACACTCACACTCACACTCACACTCACACTCACACTCACACTCACACTCACACTCACACTCACACTCACACTCACACTCGCACTCGCACTCACACTCGCACTAGCACTCGCACACGCACACGCACTCGCACACGCACGCGCATAGATACACACACACACACAAACACACACAGAGGCACACTTTATTTCATCGCTTCGCCCACTCCGCTGGCCCGTGTTGTGCCATCGCAGGTGTTCGCCTGCGCGATCGGGGCCTCCAGGGGCCTCCAGGGGCCTCCAGGGGCCTCCAGGGGGCCTCCTGGGCTCTCTCGGGGGCCTCTTGGAGCCTCCTGGGTGCCTTTTGGGGCGGAAGGCTCGAATTGGTGGTTCGTGTTCCCCCTCCTGGGCCCCCCCTTTGGGCCGTCCTGGGGCCCTCTTGGGCGATCTTGTGCGCCTCTCTCCTGGACCGCCTGGGGGCTCTCTTGGGGGCCTCTCGGGCCGTCTTGGGGCGGTCCTGGGGGCCTTTGGGGCCATCTCGGGGCGTCGGAAAACCGAGAAGGCGAGAACGCCGACATCCTCCAAAAACGTATGGGAAATCAGCCATTCATTTGTGCCTCTGGGGGCCCTATTGGGAGGTCTCTTGGAGGATGCTTGGGGCGTCTTGCAGGCTTTTCGGGCCGTCTGGAGGCCATCTTGGGGTCCTGGACTGGTTGTTCGGTGACTCGGAGCCCTCTTGGACCGTCCTGGGGGCCTCTTGGGGCTCTCTTGGCGCGCCCTGGGGGGCCTGAGAGGCCGCACCCAGGAGGAAAACCATCTTCAAGTAAAGGTTCTCTGGGGATCAGCCGGGCTACTTGGGATCCGGGAATCCCCAGGGGTGGTCCCGCGCGCGCGACCTAGAATTTTTTAAACTAGTTACCGGAGATCTTAGCACGCCTCTGGCCCGTTGGGCCGGCGAATTGACGAACACACGCACAGACGCACACACACGCAGACTCACACACAGACACACAGACACACGCACATGACACATAGAGACACACATTATTAACTCAAGCCATGTTGGCTCAAGCCCAGGTGCCATGTCGCTCTAGATAGTCTCAAGAAGTCGTTATGTCCCTCGAAGCGTCGATCAAGAATTGCGGCCTGACAAAACAATGGAGCGCCGCACTGCGGATGCTCCGCGAAGGAATTCAATTGGGTGTGCAACTCGTCCCAGGCCACTACGTTGCGACTGTCAGCGCATGCAGAAACGGCGGGCAATGGCAACACGCGTTGACAGTGCTCAGTGAGATGTGGGAGGCGAGGCTGGAGCCCGACGTCATCTCTCCTACATTGTACATGGCGGGCAGAAGCGGGTGCCAGAAGGGCAGGCGGTCAAGTGGCTAAGATCGCCCCTTTACGGCCCCACTGGTTGGTCGAATCGCCCACGAGGGCCCAAGAGGCGCCCCAGAGGGATTGCACGACGGTCCAAGGGCGTTCCAAGACGGCTTCAGTTGTTCCCGAGACGGGCCTCGCGACCCCACAGACCTCGGAAGGGGGCTCCAAGACGGTCCAAGAGGCCCCAACGACGCTCCGACAGGGCCCCGAGAGGACGCCAAAGAGGCATACTTTTTTACATTCCTATGGGAAGACGTACATTTCCAGCACATTCGCCTTTTGTGTTGTTACTCGGTCCAGGACAGGCCAAGAGGCTCCCCCAAACCCCGCAAGACAACCCAAACGGCCCCCAAGAGGGCCCCAAGACGGTCCAAGAGGGCCCGAAGACGGCCCAAGGGGGCCCTCAAACGGCCTGAGAGGACCCCAAGACGGCTCCAAGATGGCCCGAAGAGGCTCCCAAGAGGGCCCCGGGAAGCCCTCCAGAGAGCCCCAAGACGGTCCAAGGCCTCTAAGGCGCCTCGTGACGGCCCAAACGGGCCCCAAGACGTCTCAAAACGGCAGCAGAACGGCCCAACAGGGCCCTTGAAAGACCCCAAAAAGTCCCCCACCAGGACCACTGAGAAGGCGCACAGACGCGCACATAAGATAGCGATCGGTCAGGTAAAAAGCTCCCCAATCCGAGGCTCCCAGAGGCGAACGGTGACACAAAGAGCTCTTCAACCCGAGGCTGCCGAGAGCGAGCCGCAACGTCAAAAACTCTGAAAGCCACAGCTTCCAATAACGAGCGGTGACGCAACCAGCCCTTCACATCAAGGCTGCCAAGAGCAAAGAACGCTATGAGCCATCTCAATTTTTCCGTTTCCGTAACGGCGCGGGTCTTCCCGCTTGGCACGGACCCATTCACGGCCCCAAGAGTAATACAGGGCCCCTCCATGGCTGCAAGACCGCTCCAGACCGATCCAGGACTGCCGAAGCGGCCCCCAAGACAGCCCATGAGGAGCCCAAGAGAGCTCCCAGAGCGGACCAATACCGCCCAAGACGGCCCCAAGGCAGCCCGAGAGTCACCCAACGGCGTCGGCCTTACGGGTGGGAGACGAAGGTCTTGCGACAGTGGGTACGGCCAGGGCGTATCTTTCTTCTAGTGTTTCTTTTTCCGGCCATAAGACTTCTTACGGTCGGGAAATATCCTCCATCTTCGAACATTTTTGGGGCACGCCTTCTTCTAAGAATTCCTTCCGGCCGTGGAATTTCTTACGGCCAGAAAGAAATCCTGTCTGGGATGGTCTCTGGGGCCATCTTCCACACATGAGATCGTCGTCCGCGGCATCTCCTGTGGGATGTCCCGCAACCCCCTGAACCAGGTGCTTCGTCTCCCAGCCGTAAGGCCGACAACGACGACGAGCAGGTTACAGCAAGGACCTCGCGCACGACGCGTCGGAGATCGGCGTCGCCAGCGTGGAGGCACTCTTTCCTCCTCTCTTTTCCCTCCTCTTCCCGCCAGTGCGCAGACCCCCTTGCACACGCGCATACATGCGACACCAGGGCGGCTGCAGCAGCAGCGTCGGGGGAAGGGGAAGCGACGCCAGCACCACCAGGGAGGCCTCCTCCAGAGAGGTGGCCCACGATGCTTCCCCGAGCTGGGGATAGCCGATGTCTCGAGCGAGAAGAGGGCCATGCCAACAGTGGGCCCCCTCCCCTCCATGCGAGACCGGGGCGGCTGCAGCAGCAGCGTCGGGGGAAGGGGGGGGGCAATCGCAACACCACTAGGAAGGCCTCCTCAGAGGTGGTCCACGGTGCCTCCCCGAGCTGGGGATAGCGGATGTCTCGAGCGAGACGGGGGGTATGCCGACAGGGGGCCCCGCCCCCCCTCCATGCGAGACCAGGGCTACTGTAACAGCAGCGTCGGGAAAAGGGGAAGCGGCGCCAACGCCGCCAGGTGGGCCTCCCCCAGAGAGGTGGTCCACGATGCCTCCCCGAGCGAGGGGATGTCTCGAGCGAGGGGGGCCTCCTCCAGAGGGGATGTCTCGAGCGAGGGGGGGGCCATGCCGACAAGGAACGCTTCTCAGAAGGGCTGCGTGGGCGGAGTCCACGGGTCAGTTCTATCAGCTACAGCGCCGGGATCAGCGCGTGCGAGAAGGGTGAGCAGTGGCAGCGGGCTCTGTCGCTACTCAGAGATATGCGGGAGGCGAAGCTGGAGCCCGACGTCATCTGCCTTTCAGCTCTGTGCAAAGCATGTGCGAGCGGGGAGAAACAGTTCTAGCTCCAGGACGCTGCGCGGACGCCCCGACCGTTTCGGAAGACGTTCCCGAGACAGTCGAGGAACCCCGCACGAGGGCCCCAGGAGGCTCCCAAGAGAGTCCCAAAACGCCCCAGACGCACTAAGATTTATTTTAGATGTTTCCACGAACGCCCCAGACGCACTAAGATTTATTGTAAATGTTTCCACGAAGCCCCCCGCTGGTCCACGGAGATCCCTCGAGAAGCGGCGCCAACATTATTTATGGTGCATGCTACGTTTTTGATTTTGATTGTTGTCAGCAAGATGGCGACAAAATTCAAACCCGGGGCTTCTCACAGGGTCCACGCTCCTAGCAATTACAAGAGGACCCAAAACGCTGACAAGAAAACCCAAGAGGGCCCTGAGTGGTCACCAGAGCGGCCCCAAGACGTCTCCAAGGCTGCCACATGCCGCACCAACACGACCCCGAGAGCCCCTCCCAGGCCGCCCTCAGTAACCCCGAATTGCACCCAGACGCCCCGAGATACGCCAAGGTGTCAGGACAGCCGCAGAGGGCCCTCAGAAGGCCCCGAGGAGGCTTCAAGAGAGCCCCAAAGTCACCCCAACGCGAGACCAAGCGTGCCGGCACAGACGGGCCTCCAGAGGGCTGCAAGGCCCCAAGGCGACGTCCAAACGGCCCGAGCCTTCACCAGCGCAGTCCACAGGCCAGCCTAGGGCTTGGCATCGCTCAAACGTGTGCCTTTTCCCCTGGCGAGGGCCAGCGACGAGCAGATTGGAACCTCTCACGAAAACATCCGAAAATCCAAGAAACCCACGACATCGAAACATGCACGGGGAGTGGACGTCCGAGCGACGGCGAGAGGGACGCGCAGTGCCCTCAAGGCGGCAGCAGCAACGGCACCGGACGCAGCAGCACCACTGCGGAGGCGATGATAGGGCCGAAGAGCCCAGTGGCGGGTACTACACGCATCCCTGTGGGAGCCTCCCCGAAGGCATGGGCCATCGGCGCCCCCGGGCACACGTACTGCCATCCCCCGGGCTGTTCGCCCCCGCCGTCGCCCCCGACCACTGGCGGCAGGCCCGCCGCCCTCCCCGCCGCCGCCGGTGCGCGCCCCTGGCCCCCCTCGGCGACGTCGAGGCCGCCCGCGGCAGCAGCGGCACCCAAGTGCAGCAGCACCCACTTGGCGGCCAGGCCCGCCGCCGCCGTCCCCGCGGCCCTCGGCGCCGGGCCCCCCGGGCCCCCCCCCTCGGCGCCGTCGACGCGCCCACCCGCGGCCTCGGCGGCGGCGCTCCGCGCCCGTGCCGTGCTCCGCTGCGGCCCACGCGTGCTCGGGCCTCTGCCCCGACGGACGCTGCAGCTCTCTTCTCCTTTGACAGTCGTGCCGAGGTAGAGGAGGTCGAGGTCGGCTCGGGGAGGGTGCCTCGGCGTTTTTTGGTGTCTCGGGGATGCTCTGGTGCATCCTGGGAGGGTGGCCTTGGTGGTTCCGTGCGTTTTGGCTGGCGGAGGTTCTCACGTTCTTGAAGGATGCTCTTCTGGCCTGGGTCCGACTGTAGCTGCCCTGATACGCCCTTGTTGAAACGCAACACGGGCCGTGTTCAAAACGTCCGTGTGGACACGTTGCGTGCTGGTTCGGCGCGTGTTGTTCCACGTGTTGGCGAATGCATCGTGCCAGACTTGCGATTTCAGTCTTCGTGTTGAGCTCTGTGTCAGCACGTTACGTGTTGCGTGTTGCGCTTCAGGGCAGCTAAGTGCATCTCTTTCCTCAGTTGTTGCTCCACCAGCCGCTCCAGCCTACTGCACACACACAGAGATCGGCAGGCACGGCTTGACTGCGCTGGCCGTGAGTTTCCACAGGTTCGCGCTCGTCATCTACAGCGCTGGGATCAGCGCGTGCGGGAAGGGCGAGCAGTGGCAGTGGGCTCTGGCGCTACTCCGCGAGATGTGGGAGGCGAAGCTGAAGCCCGACGTCATCATCAAATCTGCGGTGCCGGGTGGTGCGCGTGCGAGGGGCTCTGCATCTATCGAGTGGCCGCTTTGCTGGGGGCCCAGCGGCAGGCCCAGACGGTTCATGCAGTCTCAGAGGGCCTTCAGGAGGGGTGTCGGATGGCCAAACATACCCAAAGACGGCCTAATACGGCGCCAGAATCCCCAGACTGCGCCAATATGACCCCAACTGGTTCACAAATAGCTGCGCGCAGGGCTCGTGACGGGCGGATATCATGTGATTGATTGCGGCTTTGGTGCATTTTTGGCTCTCTCCATTCTCGAGCTCTGGATGCGTCCCAAAGGTTGGACCAGCCCGGGCCCGAGCTCTCGAGCGGACCAAAGGTTGGATGCGTCCCAAAGGTTGGACCAGCTGGATGCGTCCCAATGCGTCTTGGAGCTCGAGCTCTGGAGTCCTCTTGGACTGTCTTGGGGGCCTCTGAGGGCCCTCGTGGCCCGAACAAGTCACGCGGGGAGACGTGCCAGAGCCCAGGGGAACCGCGACTAGCCCCGAGAGATTGGACAATTGAGGGTCGAGGACCCTCACAGACTCACTAGGATCGAGGACCGAGGCTCAGGGGATTGGGTAAAGGACCTGGGGACGCGCCCACTCCGTGCCCAGCGGCACGGTGGCGGATCTCGATCATGCATGAAGAAGGGCAGGTGCAAGTTTCATCAAGTACTTCCTGCCCCCACTGCACCATCTACTCCTCTATCTACCTCCTTCCGCCCTGTCCGCTTCTATCCTGTCCTTTCCTCTCCTCCTTACTTACACCCTCGCGCTCGCGGCGCAGTGCCCCCCTCACAGAGTAGGTGTATATACATGTGCATCTCTATATATGTACATATATACATATATAGATATCTACACACCTATATCTATATATATATATGTATGCATAAGCATGTGTATATATATATATATACACATTTATATGTGTATGTATGTATCAGAGGCTGGTTTCACTCGGCTGCCGCGGCTGGAAGGCAGCTCGCAAGTATGCAACCAGGCAGCCGATATTCACCCTCGCATGCGCCTGACCTGTACGAGCTGCGAGAGGACGTCATCCTGGACATCTCGGGCTTGCAGCCCAGACTTTTAGTGTGTGGGCTTGCCGCGAGCAGATCGGGCCCACTGCTGTTGCTGCAAACCCACGGGCCAGGTCCCGTTTCTTCAGCTATGTGGGAACCTCTGCGTGCGAAAGGTGCTGTGGATCAATAGTTTTTTTGCCTCAGTGGGCCCAGGGGCTGAAAAAAGCTGCTGGGGCAGCTTCAATCTGCCCCAGCAGCCCTGCGGGCCTCGGGCCACGCCTCCTGTTCGGCCAAGCAGAGCCCACAGATAGCCGAAGAGGCGCCCAAGACGGCCTCAATTAGCTAGACAACGGCACCCGAGGCCCCTCAGACGCTTCAAGCGTGGTCGAAAAGGGTTCCCACGACAGCCTCGAAAGGCCAACCTCGTCGCAATACTTTCGTGTTGTTGTTTGCGTATGTTTGTGTTCCGTCTCTGCAGCGCTCCAGCGGGACATCGATGACCCCCCACACTTTTTCAAGACAGCCTCCGCGGCCTCCATGATAGCCCCATACAGTGGGAGCGCGCATCAAGAAACCATATGCTTTTCGTCAGGGTATCCTGGGTTTCTTCGCTCCGCGCGCTGCGCGGTGACTTCCCGCCGCCGATGAAGAAGGTGCTGCGTTCAGCGTGCTCTGGGCTTCCCCTCGGGTGCACCTCGCGCGCGGGTTCTCAGGGTTGGGTTCCTCGCGAGGGTTTCTTCCGGCCGCGCCCGCACGGTACACGGCCCAGTACGGCCCCAGGACGGCCCAAGAGGCGCCCAGGACGGCCCAGAAGGACTTCACGAAAGGCCCCAGGAGCGGCGTATGGCACGGCCCACGACGGCCCGACACGTCCCCAGAGGTACTCCAGAGAGCATCATCCAGCAGTGGAGAAGCGTCCTGGCTCGCCTAAAGCCCTACCAAACAATGTTCTAAGAACCGTTCGTGGTTCCCACGAAATGTTCTTAGAACATTTCTGGCTGGGACAGCCTTGTTTTAACACATGGTTTATGTTCTAAGAACATTGTGTTTGTTCTTAGAACATTTATGGGTTCTAGGAACATTTCGTGGTAGGACTATAGGAATGCCGGGACGGTCGGTCCCTGCTCAACATCAGTCGATTAAAGACGCCCCCGGTACCGTTCAAGGCATGAGGGCCCAAAGGAGTCCAAACGAGGCCCGCAGAGGCGCCCACGTAGTTTCAAAAGTCGGGAACTGCAACATATACATTACCAGTGGCGGCCCGTTTTTCAATCCCAGGACTTTTTTGAGGGTCGAGGACGATGCTGGGGTGGTCTGGTGTATACTTGTTCCCTGTTTTCCCAGGGAAACAACGAAGAATGTATACACCAGGATCCCGTATACACCAGAATCCGCGTTCCTGTGCGAATTTCAGCGCAGGGCTGGAAAAAACGTCGGTGTATAGAGTTCGGTCCGCTAAACAGAGCACCACAAATGTTTGCAGGAAGCCTAAATGTTTGGCAAATGTGCGTGTTCCGTGTTTATACAGCGTTCCAGCGGGCCCAGGACCCCGGAATGTCCCCAAAACAGCTTCAGAGGCCTCCGTGAGAGCTCCAAGACGGCCCAAGATGGCCCCAGGAGGGCCCAAGAGGCACCCAAGACGGCCCAAGAGGGCCCCAAGAGGGAGAACTTGAGCTGGCATGTCGTACCCTTCGCCCCAAGATGACCCCCGAGACCGCCAGTAGGCCCCCAAGAGGCCCCCCAGCAGCCTCAGGAGGCCCCCACGACACCCAAATCAGGCCCATCAGGCCCCCGAGAGGGCCCAGATAGGCCCCAAGATTCCAAAAACCGCCTCGAAGAGGCTTCGAGAGGATCCCTCGGAGAGCTCTGTGACCGCGCCAGCCACCGAAGAGAGCCCCATGAGCGACCCAAGAGGAGACCAGATGTTCGGCCACATGTGCGCCGAGGCCATTGAGACATGCGTGTGCTGGCATCTTCTCATGCCATCCTTCTCGCTCCTTGCTCCACGTTCCTCGCTCCCCCCGCCCTCTCCTCGCACCTCACGTCCCTCTCCTCGCTCCTGGCTCTTCTCTTCTCGCTCATCGCTCTTTCCACCTCTCTCCTGGTCCCTCGCTGTTCCCTCCTCGCTACTGGCTGGCGTCTGCATCCCCCCTTCTCTGCTCTCCCTGACCCTCCTCACCCTCCTTCTCTCCTCGGCGGGGGCTCCTCCCTTCTCGCCCCGTGCTCCTCGCTGATCACTCCTCGCTTCTCCCGCCTCCCCCCTCTAACCCTGACTCCTCGCTCGTTGCTCCTCGCTCCTCGCTCCACTCACAAGCTGCAGGTTGCATCAGCTAGCAAGGCAGCAAGCAACAGCACCCCTATCATAGTTTCAAGCAGCAGCAGGGAACACCAGCGGTCCGCAGCAGGCAGCGGTAGCATAGCAAAAGCAAACAGCAACACCATACCGCAGGCAGCAGCAGGTTGCAGCTGCAGGCAGGCAGCAACAGCAGAGGTGAAGAGCGGGCCTTTGGTTATCGCGAAAGCCTTGCGGCAACATCGCTGCCCTGGTCCAACGTGCCATCTCGGACAGACTTCGTGGCCAGCAGGCCACGGGTCAGCCCTAGTTCATCTACAACTCTGGGATCAGCGCGTGCGAAAAGGGCGAGCAGTGGCAGCGTGCGCTGGCGCTGCTCGGCGAGATGCGCTGGGCGAAGCTGGAGCCAAACGTCATCATCTGTATAGATTAAAAAACTTGCGGCCCGCGCGTGTGGGAACGGCCCCTGTGCCGAGCGCGGTCGAGACGCCCCCAGAGGGCTCGAGGGTGCAAACGCCAGACGGCCCAAGATCGGTCCACGAGATCCGCCGCTGGCCAGGCCCTCCCTGGACCGAGGCTCCCTGGCCAGGCCAGGGGGTCGTATACAGCCGCTCTCAAGGACGGGCCTTGACCAGCGGCGGTGGATCTGTTAAGGTCTCCTTGCCCAACGAGCGGGCACCAAGGTGGCCCCGGGCAACCCAAGAGGGCACCCAGGAAGGCCTCAGCCAGCAGCCAGCGCACACCCGCCAAGCACATCCCAGGACGGCCCAGGAGGCCCCGAGAGATTCCGAAGGGCAGCAGCAGCTCGCCCAGCGGGCCAGTCCAGACCGCGGCCGCCTTCCGCCGGGCACACATTCCGCCCAACAGCCGCCCTCCGCGGGGCCCAGCTCCGCCCGAGGTCGGTGTTGGGGACCCCTCTATAGGTCCTGCCCTGGGCTTTCGAGGCGGATCCCGCCGTGGCTGCCAGAGGAGGAGGAGGAGGAGGAGGAGGAGGAGGAGGAGGAGGAGAGGCGGGGAGGAGGGAGAAAGAGGAGGAGGAGGAGGAGGAGGAGGAGGAGGAGGAGAAGGAGGAGGAGGAGGAGGAGGCTCAGGAGGCCGCGCAGGGGCGAGGAGCGCCGGGGAGGGCCGCCGTCGTCTCGGCGGGCCCTCCTCCGAGAAGCGGGCGCGGCCCTCCTGCTGCCACGCCCGCCTCGGGGGCAGGCGCGGCCCGGCCCCCGGGCCACGGCGCGGGGGCGCCGAAGACCGTGCTCCACGCGACGGCGCCCAGGCACCGGAGCGGCTGCTGCTGTCCCTCGTCGTCGTCGTCGTCGTTCTCCTCCTCCCCTTCTCCTCCTTTTCCTATTCCTCGCCCTCCTCCTCCTCCTCCTCCTCCCTCCTCCTCCTCCTCCTCCTTCTCTTCCTCCTCCTCCTCCTCCTCCTCCTCCTCTCCGAGGCGGGCCCGCTTCGATGCGTCGCCGCCGTTTCCGATCCCTCACGCTCACTGCTTCGGCGCTTGAGAACATGCTTCACGCGTGCGCACTGCCTGCTGCTCCGCCTTCTCGCACTTGGGCCCTCCAGCGAACAAAGTTGGCCAGTCTTCGTTGCGATTCGGTTCACTCGGGCTCCAGCCTGTGCGTCGCCCACATCCTGCAGAGCTCTGGGAGGCACCCAGCGCTCCGTCCAGGCCAGGACGCATCTAGAAGTCCCTAGATGGCACCCAGCGCCACATGACGGCGAAGGAGATCCCAAGAGGTCCCAGACATGCCGTCGACCACCCTGGCATAAGCATCAGCGATTCAGCAGCAGATAGCAGCAGCAACCAGCAGCAGTCAGCAAGCAGCAAGCAGCCTTCTCGCGCCTGACCCCTCTGGCGAACACTTGGCCACGCGTCTTTGCGATTCGTTTCCTTCGCACTTCACCGCCATGCTAATAGCCTTTCGGCAGATTTTCCACCGCCCCTCCGAGAACCACTTCAGGAAGGTATCGTGGACGGAGTTCACGGGTCAGCCCTAGTCAGCTACAGCGCTGGGATGAGCGCGTGCGAGAAAGGCGAGCAGTGGCAACGGGCTCTGTCGCTGCTCAGCGACATGTGGGATGCGAAAATTAAGCCCAACGTCATCAGCTATAACGCTGGTGTGAGCTCGTGTGGAACATGCGAACGGTGGCAATGGGCCCTGATGTTGCTCAGCGAAATGCGGGAGGCGAAGCTGGAGCCCGACGTCATCAGTACTACAGTTTTTTGCGATGCTCGCGCAAGAAGCAGAAGCAGCGTTGGTTATCGACATCTGCTCACCTCCCCGGGTACGCCCAAGACAGGCCCAGGAGGTCCCCAAGACAAACAAGGGCCCCCCAAGAGTGTTCGACCCAAGAGGACCCGGAGACAGGTCAAGGTCCCCTCCAGATTGCGAACGTGCTTCGTAAAGTCCCCGAGATGGATGGCCCCAGAGAGTCCAAGAGCACCCATAAGGTCCCCGAGCGGGCCAACACCAGTCAAAGGTTAACATTTCCCAGCGATCCTGTGGTGTTGGGATCTCGTTTCGAAGAGACAGCGCCCTCCTCCCTCCCTCTCTTCCCTCATCCAATCCTTGCGTCTGCCTTCCGCACCAGTCAACCATGTCGGCAAGCCCCATTCACGTTTTGTGGCCCCATAGGGAGCTAGCTCCACCGACGGCCCCATTGCTAGCGTGCGAATGCGCCCACCGCACCATCGCATGCGCCCACCGCACATATGTTGGCACACCCCTCACACGCTTCGTGGCCCCACAGGTAGCACCACCAGCAGCGTTCGCATGGCGCCCACCGCACCCAGTTCGGCACACCCCTCACACGTTTCGTGGCCCATCTGGCGCTCCACCGACGGCCCCAGTGGCTGCGTTCGCATGCGTCCACCGCGCCCATGTTGTGACACCCCTCCCACGCTCCGTGGCCCCATGGGGAGCTCCACCGACGGTCCCATTGGGAGGGTCCGCATGGCGCCCAACCATTTCGGCACATCCCCTCACACGTGTCGTGGCCTCCAAGGGAGCTCCACCGAAGGCCTCAATGGCTGCTTTCGCTTTCGCCCACCGCATCCATTTTGGCACCCCCCTTCACGTTTCGTGGCCTCATAAGGGGGCTCCACGTGTGGCCCCAGCGGCTGCGCTCGCATGCGCCCACCGCACCCATGCCGGCACACCTCGCACACGTTTCGTGGACCCATCGGGAGCTCCACCGACGGCCCCAGTGGTTGCGTTCGCATGCGCTCACCGCGCATAGTTTGGCACACCCATCACATGCTTCGTCGCCCCATAGGGAGCTCCACTGAAGGCCCCAGTGGCACGCTTCGCATGGCGCCACCGCACGTTTCGTGGCCCCATGGGGAGCTCCACCGACGGCCCCATTGGCTGCGTTCGCACGCGTTCACCGCCTACAGTTTGGCGCATTCCTCATACGCGTCGTAGCCCCATCGGGAGCTCCACCTACGGCCCCAGTGGCTGCGTTCGCATGCGCCCACGGCGTACGTTTATTTTGGCGCACCCTTAACACGATTCGTGGCCCCCCAGGGAGCTCCACCGACGCCCACCGCGCACATTCTGGCACATCCCTCCTGCGCTTCGTGGCCCCATAAGGGAGCTCCACCGGCAGTCCCAGTGGGAGGGTCCGCATGCGCTCACCGCACCCATTTTGGCACACCCGCCTCAGTGGCTGCGTTCGCATGCGCCCACCGCACCCATTTTTGCACACCGCTCACACGTTTCGTCGCCCCACAGAGGGGCGCCACCTACGGCCCTTCGTGGCTGCGTTCGCATGCGCCCACCGCACCCATGTCGGCACACCCTTCACATGTTTTTCGTGGACATTGGGAGCTCCACCGACGGCCCCAGTGGCTGCGTTCGCGTGCGCTCACCTCGCACAGTTGGCACATTCCTCACACGCTCTGTGGCCCCATAGGGAGCTCCACCGAATGCCCCAGTGGCAGGGCTCGCATGGCGCCACCGCACGCGTGCCGGCACACCCCTCACACGCTTCGTGGCCCCATGAGGAGCTCCACCGACGGCCCCAGTGGCTGCGTTCGCATGCGTCCACCGCACCCATGTTTGCACACCTCTCACATGATTCGTGGCCCTTTAGGGAGCTCATCCGAAGGCGGTGCGTACAGCGACGGTATTCACAGCTGCATATGGTTGGGCCCCTCGCCCGGCTAGTTGAGTTGCTTTTCTTAACCATATTGTGGTACGTCTCCTCCTCCTCCTTCGTCCTCCTTTCTCCTCTCCTCCTTCTCCTCCTCGTCCTCCTCCTCTCCTTCCTCCTCCTCCTCCTCCTCCTCCTCCTCCTCTTCCTCCTCTTCCCCCCCCTCCTCCCTCCTCCCTCCTGCATCATCATCATCGTCCCATCATCCCATCATCCTCCTCAAAGCATCCCCCACATCCATTTCGGCACATCCCCTCACACGCTTCGTGGCCCCATAGGGAGCTCCGCCGAAAGCCCCAATGGCTGGGTTCGCGTGGCGCCACCGCGCACATTTCCGTGCTCCACCGAAGGCCCCAGTGGCAGGGCTCGCATGGCGCCACCGCGCCCATTCTGGCACACCCCTCGCACGTTTCGCGGCCCTATAGGGAGTTTCGCCGAAGGCCCCAATTACAGGGCCCGCATGGCGCCGCCGTACCGATTTCGGCACACCCCTGCACACGCTTCGTGGCCCAGGCTCCAGCGGCAGGGTTTGCATGCGCCCGCCGCGCCCATGTTGGGACACCCCTGACACGCTTCGTGGCCCACAGTGAGTTCCGCCGAAGGCACCCCAATGGCAGGGTTCGCATGGCGCCACCATGCTAATTTGAGCACAACCCTCGCACGCTTCGTAGCCCCATAGGGAGCTCCACCGACGGTCCCAATCGCAGGGTTCGCGTGGCGCCACCGTGCCCATCCTTTGGCAGGCCCCTTACAAGTTTCGCGGCCCCATAGTGATCTCCACCGAAGGCCCCAGTGGGAGGGTTCGTATGGCGCCACTGCAGCAATTTCGGCGCACCCCGTCACACGCTCCGTGGCCCCACGGGGAGTTTCACCGAAGGCCCCAGAGGGAGGGTTCGCGCGGCGCCACTGCACGCACTCGGGCACACCCCTTACAAGTTGCGTGGCCCCATAGGGCGCCCCACCGAAGGCCCCAGTGGGAGGGTTAGCATGGCGCCACCGCACCCGTACTGGCACACCCCTCTCACGTTGCGTCGCCCCATAGGGAGTTCCGTCGAAGTCCCCAGCATGGCGCCACCGCACATACTTCGGCACACCCCTCACACGTTTCGTGGCACCATATGGAGCTCCAACAGGCCCCAGGGGCAGGGTACGCATGGCGCCACCGCGTCGATTTCAGCACACCCTCACACGCTTCGTGGCACCATAAGGAGCGCCACCGAAGGATCCAGTGGGAGTGTTCGCATGGCGCCGCCGCACCCCTGCCGGCACACCCTTCACACGCTTCGTGGCAGACGGCCCCAGAGGGAGGTTTCGCATGGCGCCACCGCACCCGTGCCGGAACACACCTCACACGCTGCGTGGCCACATAGGCAGCTCCACCGAGGGCCTCAGTGGGAGAATTCGCATGGCGTCACCGCGCCCATTTCGGCACACCCTTCACACGTTTCGCGGCCCCATGGGGAGCTCCACCAGAAATGATATTGACAGCTGCGGTATTGACAGCTGCATGTGATTTGGTCCTACGCCAGTCTAATTCGCCTCTGGGGTGTTTTCTAGATGCGGTAATGCGCCAAGCCACTCGAGACTTACACGAGACACCTAGAGGGCCCCAAGGTTTCCCCAAGAAGCCCCCAGGACAGCTCGAGAACGCCCCTTGAGATCCCAAAGACGACCCGACAGGGCCGCGGGACCCCAAGATATCTCCGAAATTGGGCTGCCGAAGGACCCAAACATATGTGGTTGTAATTTTTGTTCGGTGGAGCTTCCTATGGGGGAACGAAGCGTGTGATGGGTGTGCCGAGATTGGTGCGGTGGCGCCATGCGAACCCTCCCACTGGGGCCTTCGGTGGAGCTCCATTTGGGGCCACGGAGCGTGTGAGGGGTGTGCCGAGCTGTGTGCGTTGGCGTCATGCGAGCCTTGCCATTGGGACCATAGGTGGAGCTCCCCTTGGGGCCACGAAGCGTGTGAGGGGTGTTCCGAAACGGATGCAGTGGCACTATGCGAACCCTCCAACTGGGGGTCTTCGGTGTGGCTCCCAATTCCCCATGGGGCCACGAAACGTGTGAGGGGTGTGCCGCAGTGGGCGCGGTGGCGCCATGGGAACCCTCCCACTGGGGCAGTCGGTGGAGATTCCCATGAGGCCACAAAAAGTATGATGGTTGTGCGGACATGGGTGCGTTGGCGCCATGTCAACCTTGGCTGTGGTGCCGTGGGTGGAGCTCCCGTTAGGGCCACGAAGCAAATGTGGGGTGTGCCGAATTGGGCGCGATGGCGCCATGCAAATGCTTCCACTGGGGCCTTCGGTGGAGCTGCCTGTGGGGCCACGAAGCGTGTGCAGGGGTGTGCCGAAATCGGCACGTCGGCGCCATGCGGGCCCTGTAATTGGGGCCTTCGGCGCAACTCCCTATAGGGCCACGACACGTGTGAGGGGTGTGCCGGCATGGGTGCGGGTGCGGTGGCGCCATGCAAGCCCTCCCATTGGTGCTTTCGGGTGGGCTCCCTATGAGGCCACAAAACGTGTGATGGGTGTGCGGACATGGGTGCGTTGGCGCCGTGCGAACCCTGCCGTTGGGGCCTTCAGCGGTGCTCCCTGTAGGGCCACGAAATGAAGCTCCCTTTGGGGCCACGAAGCGTGTGAAGGGTGTGCCGGCACGGGTGCGATGGCGCCATGCGAACGTTGCCACAGGGGCCTTCGGCGGAATTCCTTTTGGGGCCACGAAACGTGTGACGGGTGAGCGGGCATGGATGGGGGGGGGGACGAGTGGATGAGGATGTTGGCATGATGGGATGTTGCTGCTGCTGCTGCTGATAACGATGATGATGATGATGATGATGATGATGATGATGATGATGATGATGATGATGATGATGATGATGATGATGATGATGATGATGATGATGGTGATGGTGATGGTGATGGTGATGGTGATGGTGATGATCATGATGGTGGTGGTGATAATGATAATTTGGATGATGGTGTTGATGATGATGAAGGCGACGAGTCTGAGGATGACGATGATGATGATACTGATGATGCTGATTATTATGATGATGCTGATGATGCTCATGATGATGATGCTGACGATGCTGATGGTGATGATGATGTTGCTAATGATGATGTTGTTAGCGGAGATGATGCTGATGATGCTGTGGTTGCTGCTGATGATGAAGATGATGCTGATGATGACGATGATGATGGTGGTGGTGATGACGATGATGATGATGATGATGATGATGATGATGATGATGATGATTGTGATCATGATGGTAGTGATGATGATCCTGATAATGACGATGCTGATGATGATGATAACGATGATGATTTTGGTGGTGATGATGCTGATGCTGATGGTGATGCTGATGATGATCCTGGTACTGCTGATGATGATGACGCTGACGATGATAATGGTGATGGTGATGGTGATGGTGATGATGATAATGATGATGATGACGATGCTGATGCTGCTGATGATGATGATGATGATGATGATGATGATGGTGATGAGGATGATGGTGATGATGCTGCTGCTGATGATGATAATGATGGAGGAGGGAGGAGGGGGAGGAGGAGAGGGAATAGGAGCGGAGAGGTGGAAGGAACGCGGGGCGCTGTCTCTTCTAAACGAGGAACCAACCAACACCACAGGATGGTTGGGCATTTCTGAGGCAGGCTCCAGCAGTAATGCTTCTACAGAGGCCCAGAGTGCCCCCAGCGACGACCCGGCAGGAAGAGGCCCCAAGAAGGCCCCCGCTTCGCTCCAACATAATCCCAGGATGCCCCACAGAGGCTTCAAGACGACCAAATTACAGGGGCCCACGAGATCTCTGACAATCATTTGTTCCTTCTCTGGCTCCCCTTTTTTTCTGCGACCCTCGGGGCGGTCCCAGAAGATCTCTGGGGCATCTGTAACTCTCTGGAGGGCTCACCGGCGTTCAAGTCAGGCCATGGGGTTTTGAGGTGACTGTCGGGATCCACCGACGGTTGATGTCCCCCGTGAGAGTCGTCTAACGAGTTGGGAGCTAATCGAGACGGGACCGATGACAGTAAAGGATACTGAAGGAGTTGAGAGAGGAAGGCTAGAGGCACCTGCTGGTCGCAGTACCCCCCCCGCCGCAAACGGGACCTACGAAGTCGAGAGGACTCCGCGAGGCCCCGCAGAACGGCGCTCGAACGCCCCCCATGGCTCCCATCCCTCCCCGTTGCAGGCGGCTCCCGGCAGGCCTGCAGAGAACGCCGACGGAAGCTGCCGGAGCCCTCCAGCACCATTTTACTGGGTGCTCGACGCGCTGCGCCGTACTTCTGCGTGCCGTCAGCTGCCTCGCTTTGCGGAGGGCTGTGCAGATGTCGGTTCCTGGCCAGCAGGCAGCACGCACTGCCCGAGGCACACCCAGGCCAGCAAGGAGCAGGGAATGGAACACCAACGTAGGTTTATAGGGATGGCGAACCCATGCTCGCCAGTCCAAGGGACACTCATCGCCCAGCAACGTACGACGTGATATAATATCTTCTCTACTTTGCGATGCTGAGAGATTCTCCAAAGGCTTACGCCACGCCAGTATGTACTGCCAAGAGGTCCCAAAGAGGCTCTCATGGGCACCCAACAGGGCCCCAGTGCGACCCAAGGACGCCTCCAATAGGTTCCCCAGAGACCCCCCCCCAGAGCATCCGAGGGCTCCGACGAGACTCCGAAGACACCTGTGGGGTCGCCTTCAAACGGTCCAAGTGCTCCGCGAGAGTCGTTTACGATGGCCCAATTTGCTTCTCAGACACCTTAGTGGTCCCCCAGACACGCAGCACCAATCAGCGACCAGCAGTAGCAGCAGCAGCAGCAGCAGCAGCAGCAGCAGCAGCAGGAGCAGGAGCAGCAGCAGCAGCAGCACGCAGCACCACCAAGCCGTATCAAGCAGCAGCACGCCAAGGCCAATACCAGGGCGCATCGACGAGAAACCACAGCACGCAAATATACACTCGCGGCGACCAGCACCAAGCACCAGCAAGCGGCAGGAAGCCTGAGGGTGCGGCCGGACAAACAATATAGGAAACAATCAGGAAGCGGGCGATTTGGCCAACAGCTATCAGTTCACTAGTCTAGCCACCACGACAGCAGGATAACAGGGGGCAGACCAGCAGGCAAGCGATCACCACAAGTTCACGGCGCCCCCCCGCTGTTCTGAAAGGCCACCTGGCGTCCTTCCAGGCCCGTCCTCGTCACTCTTTCACAGATCCTTGATCTTCTCGCCGCTAGTTCCTATTTCCTGGCCCTTCGCTCCTCACTCCTGGATACGCGTCCCCCCCTCATCGCATCTCCCTTCTGCCAGCCCCACTCGGCCCCACGATGGCCAGAAGAGCGCCCCAGGGATCCTCGCGACGGCTACTTGCTTGCTACTCGCTCCACCCTCCTCGCCGCTTCCTGCTCACTCATGTCTTGTTTCTCGCTGCTCGGGCCTCGGGGCCGACGTCAATCTGAACGACTTTTGATAGCCTTCTGCGCATCACATGCCAATTTGGACATATCTCGCGGACCGTTGTCCACGGTCAGCCCTAGTCTCTCCTACACGGCAGGACCAGCGCTCGCGGAACTGCCGATCGGTGGCAGCGAACCGGCCCTCTCCGGTGGCCCCTGCGAGCCCCAGCCGGCCTCGGCGCGCTTCCAAGATGGCCCACGAGCGTTCCGAGCAAGAGGAGGCCCCCAAGAGGGCCCCCAGACGGCCGACGACGGCCCAAGAGGCTTCCAAAACGTTCCAAGGGGGCCGCACGACGAGCCCCAAGAGAGCCCGAACACTGAAAAATCACCCCATTTCCTCGGGAAAACATGCGTTTTGGCAGTTCCCAGGCTTGCCCGCTTCATAGCGTCCAAGACGGCCATACAGGGTGCCAAGATGGCCCCAGGACGGCTCCTGCGGCGCCCCTGGCGGCCCACGGGGCACCCAAGACAGCCTCAAGAGCGGCCCAGGACGACCCCCAGACGGTGCCCGGATTGCTCCAGAGACGCCCAAGACGGCCCCAGACAACCCCCAGACTGCCCCGGACCGCCTCCACACGGCCCAAGGGGCTCTCGAGACAGTCCCAGAGGGCCCCAGGCTTCCAGGAGGCCGAAAAGCAGCTCTGAGAGGTCCCTAAACGATCCCCAGAGGCCCCAAGATCACGGCCCAAAAAGCACCGAAGACGGCATCAACAGCAGCCCAAGACGGCCTAAGACGGCCACAGACGGTCCCAAAACGGCTCCCAGCGCACCATGGGGCTCTGAAGCTTATTCGGCACTCCCTGTCGGATTTGGCCCAAAATCCCTCGCCCTTTTTGTCGGTCCGGAACCCTCTCCGCGGCCTCTTGAGGCCATGCCGTGTTTCGCTCTTCTGGTTGCCCAGAATGGCCTCGCCTCGAGGGGTTTCACAGTTTCTGGAGGTTTTTGAAACAGGCCCTTGAGATCTTTTGGTGGGTCTCGGCCCTGCCCTATCATGACGACGCTATTTCGGTCCACGTTGGGCCATCTCCGGCTCCCATCGGCGATCATTTCGGGCCATCTTTGGGGCTTCATGGGGTATTCAAGCGGGTCTCGGCCCTGCCCTATAATGATAGGGCAGGTTTTCGACGCCATTTGGGCCCACTTTGGACCATCTCCGCCAGTGACAGCAAGCATATTCTTTTCTCCTACAACGCTGGGATCAGCGCGTGCGAGAAGGGCGAGCAGTGGCAGCGGGCTCTGGCGCTGCTGAGCGAGGTATGGAATGCGACGCTGGTACCCGACGTGATTTGTGCTACAATCCTCGGCGCTGCGCGTGCCAGCAGATTTTTGAATAAAAAGGCTGCCCCTGAGCGCCCGAAGCCACCTGGAGCGGCCCGAGCGCCTGGAGCGCCCTCAGGGCCCCGGGGGCCCCCCTAAGAGGGCCCTGCAGGAGCTGCGCAAGAGGACCCACGCCGGGCTCCCCTGCGGCTCCAGCAGAAATTCTGGCCTCAAGATGACCCAACGCGCCTCCGGGACGGCCCACTAGGGCCCAGGAAGACCCCGATGACGGCCCCACACGTTGACGGAAAAAACAGAAATCAGGCATCCCGCACGGTTTCCCGCACTCTTCCCATGACGGGCTCAGGGCAGCCCCAGACGGCTCCAGGGCCATCCCAGATCGCCCCAAGACGGTCCAGGATGCCCCGCCATGTGCCCCAAGACGGCCCCAGAGAGCCCGAAGACTGCCCCAGAGAAACCCAAGACAGCCTCATTCAGCTCCCCGGTGGCCCCCGCGACAGCCCAAAGAGGGCCTAGGAGCTGCCCAACAGGCACCAAAGCGAGCTCCAAGAAGGCCAGAGACTTCCCACACGGCCCCAGGACGGCTTAAGAGGCCCCCGAGACAGCCCAGGAAAGCGCCCCGAGAGGGCCCTAGAGGGCACCTATGGAGGCTCCGGATAGACCCCACTGGCCGAAGGGAGCCCAGACGACGCCCTTCCTGCAGGCCCCAATGGGCCAAGAACCCTCCAAGGACGACTCCACATGCCCCACCTACCCCTCCTCCTTCTCCTCCTCCCCCTCCTCTTCCCCCCCCCTCCTCCTCCTTCCCTTCCCCCCCCCTTCCTCCAGAGTCTCCCAGGAGACTCCGACGGTCCCCAAGGAGCTCCAAAGGAAAGTGCCTCGAGCCACGGCGCCCTTTCGCCGTCCCTCGAACGTCCCAGAGCCCCAGGGCAGGCCCCAGACCCCCCTCCGAGATGCCCCCGGGCCTCTCAAGAGACTCCGATCGTCCCCACGGAGCTCCCAAGAGCGGTCCCAGGACCACGCCGAGATGCCCCAGAGTCGCCCACAAGGCTCCGACGCTTGCCAAGAGACTCGGACAGTTCCCCCAGAGCTCCCAGAAGCGGTCCCCGGAAGAGACTCCCACTGTTCCCACGGAGCTCCCAAGAGCGATCCCAGGACCATTCCGAAATGGCTCAGTGTCGCCCTCAAGACCTTCCCCCCTACGGCCGATTCAGGGTGACAGGGGGACCTCCTCCTCCGATCTCTTCCCCCTTCCCTCTTCGAAGCTGTGGCCTCTCTGGAGCCTCCACTCCGCCTGTTAGGGGTGGCAAAGGGGGGACCTGCAGCCACTTCGGTCGCCCCTCCTCTGCTGCCGATTAGGGGTGGCCAGGGGGGGGCCTCAAGACTCGGACACTGCGGGGATCAGCATCCCGCTCCCCCCACACGGCCGAGTAGAGCGCTCGGTGGCCCCCAAGACAGCCCCAAGACCACGAGATCCCTCCCCAGACCACTCAGAGATGGAGCAGACCCTCCCCAGGACAGTGGACGACAGCCTCCAGCCCCAGCTCCTGGAGCCTGCGGCAAACCCTGCAGCGAACCTCAAGGTTGACAGGGGGGACCTTCTGACAGCAGCCTCACAGCACGCACGCACCAGAAGTCTCCCTGCTTGTGCTCCAGAAGAGGCCCTGGGGGGCTGCCCGGGAACGCCCCCAGAGGCGCCAAATAAACCGCAGGAGGCCTTCAAGACGCCCCAGACAGGCTCGAAGGAGGACCCAACGTGCCCCCGACGCGGCCCCAGGGACGCCCGAGTTGTTCAACTTCGACGAGTTGTTCATCCATGGTGTGCGATTCCCAGGTTCAGCACACCGTGGATTTGGTCCACGGGTTCACGCTAGTCTCTACTACATTGCAGGGGCACGTGCGTGCGGGAAGGGCGCAGGCTCAAATGACTCAAAACCGCCCCGGGCTGGCCCCGGGCCGCCCCGGGCCGCCCAGGCAGGCCCCAGGACATGTCGAGAGAGCCCCCAGAAGCCTCCAAGACGGCACGGAGAGCCCCGGCACGCTTAAAGATGGGCCCAAGACGCTCGAGATTCGCCCCAGGCGGCCCAAGAGGCGTCCAAGACGCCCGAAGAGGCCTCCCAAGAGGCCTCCCAAGAGGGCCCCGAGCGACAGAAATCGTCGATTTCTACTGTGTTTTTCGATGTTTTCGGCCACCTCGCCTCGTCGGCTTCCCGACGCTCCAAGACGGCTCAAGAAGCCCCCTCGACCGCTCCAAGACGGCCGAAGAGGACCCCAAGAGAGCCCCAAGACGGGCCAGGAGGGCCCCCAGACGGTCCCAAGACGCCCCAGGACGGCCCCCGGACGGCCCAGGAGGCGCCCAAGACGGCCCAAGAGGCACCCAAGACGGCCCCAGGAGCGGCCCAGGACGGCCCACGACAGCCCAAGAGGCGCCGAGGCGGGTTCCAGACGGCCCCAAGACGGCCCAAGAGGCACCCAAGACGGCCAGAGAGGGCCCTAAGAGCCCCCCCGGGAGGCCCAAACGAAGGCCGAAGAGGCTCCGAAACGGCCCCCACGAAGCCTTCAGTGCCTTCAGAATTCCCTCCAGGAGCGGGGGAGCGGACGAGAGGCGACAGGCATATCGCAGGCCAAAAACGCCCCAAGAGATCCCCAAACGGCCCCCACGAAGCCCTAAGTGGCCTCAGAATTGCTTCCAGGAGGGGGGGAGCGGACGAGAGGCGACCGGCATATCGAAGGCACAAAAGAACAATGTTGGACGCTCCGAGGGCCTTCGATGTTTCTCCGTTGGGGAGAGTCGTCGTAGGATCGACGATTGCCGACCGAGGGCAGCGAATCCAGTGGAGGCCCAAGAGGCCCCCAGGAGCCCAAAAGAGATCCCCAAGAGGTGCCACGGGGCTTAAAAACTGCTTCGAAGCGAGGGGGGCGGACGAGGGGACCGCCTCAGGAGGTTTTGGACGGTTTTGGGCCTCAAAATCGTCCGCTTTACGACGGTTTTGGAAGGATTTTGGCCTTCTCGCCTTTTCCGCTTTCCGACGCTCGAAGACGGCCCAAGAGGCCTCCAAGAGCGCCCCAGAACGGCCCAAGAGGTTTCCAAGAGCGCCCCAAGACAGCCCAAGAGGGCCCCAAGACGACCCAAGAGACGCTCAAGACGGCCCACGAGGGCCCGAAGACAGGCCCAAGAGGGGGCCAAGAGGGGGACCACGGACCGAAAATCCGAGCCTTCCGCCCCAAGAGGGCGCCAGGAGGCCCAAACAGGCCCCCAAGAGGCCCCAAGGGGCCGCCAAGAATCCCCCGAAGAGGCCCCAGGAGGCTCCCAAGGAGCCCAAACGAGGCCCCTACAGAGGCCCCAACAGCTTCCAAAATGGCCCCGAAGAGGCCTCGAGCCCGCCTCCGAGCTTCCTCGCCGCGAGGGTGCCAACACGGCCCCAGACCGGCCCAGGACGGCCCAAGGCGCGCTCAAGACGGCCCAAGACGATTCCAAGACGGTCCCAGGAGGGTGCGCCCAGGACGGCCCAAGGACGCGCCCGTTCGGGGCCTCAAGACGGGCCAAGATGGCAAGAGAGTCCCAGCTGGCAAAAATCGTTCATTTTCCATTGTTTACTGTTACACCCTTTGCGTTTCCCGCCGTTTCGGCGGTCCGATGCACCAAGAGGCCCCAGAAAGTCCCAGGAGGGTCCGAGGAACCGCCCAGGAAGGCCCCAAGACGGGCCAAGACGGACCCAGCACAACCCAAGGCGCGCTGCGACGGCTCAAGACGGCTCCAAGACAGCCCCAAGAGGGTGCCAACACGGCCCCTGCTGGGCCCAGGACGGCCCAAGGAGGCGCACAGGAGGGGCCCAAGACGACTCCAAGGCGGCCTCCTCACGGTCCCAGACGGCTCCAAGACAGCCCCACGAGGACCCCGATGGGCCCAGGACGGCCTACGGACGCGCCCATGAGGGGCCCACGACGAACCAAGACGGCCCCATCAGGGCAAACGGCGCCCTCAAGACGGGCCTAGACGGCTCCAAGACGGCCCTTTGAGAGAGCCAACGCGGCCCCACACCCTTCGGGCGCACACTTGGGGGGGCTGGGAGCTTGCGACAAGTCTCCCACATTCATTGTCCTGCCCCATTCTGTTCGCCTGGAGGCCTCCTCCAACCCTGTGGGCGAACAAGAGGAATCCCAGCGGGACGCCAACCCTGGGGCCCGTGGGCCCCGCGCCGCTTGGGCAGAAGACGAACGCCGGGTCTGACAGGCCAGCTACCGCCCCCCTTTGCCCGATATGCTGTGCCATTCTGTTCCCCCAGGGGCCTTGGCAAACTCTTCGGGCCAAGCAGACCGGACCCCTGGGACAGCAGCCAATTGATATGACCCTGGGACCTCTCCGCATTCTTCGGACGAGCATCTGGGGGGCCCAGGAGATTCGGACATGTCTTCCCCATTCCTTGCCCTGTCCCGTTCTGTTCGCCCGAAGGCCTCCACAGACCCTCTGGGCGAACAGAATGGGACATGGCGAACAAACCCTCCCGTTGGCGGTGATGCGACTGGATCGCACCATCAAGGCGCGCCCGGAGGTGATGGCCGACCCAACAGCGGTTTCTCTTAAGAGTTCACTGGATTTCAAATTTTCTTGAAGCTCTCTTGGGCCCTCCCTGTAGATCCTTGCGAGCCTCCCCGGCGCTTTCGGTGGCTTTCCCCGATGGCCTCCCGAGCCCTTCCCCGAGCGCTCCTGAGACGCCTCAGATGGGCTTCGACTTCGACGCACATCCCCGAGAGACTTCGAAACTGTCCTCAATAGGAGGGGGGTGAACGAGCAGTGCGCTGGGCCAAGCTGCTGCAGCGCTGCAAGAGCTCGGACACGAAGGCGCGGTCTCGCTGCCGCCGCCCGAGCCGCCGCCGTGTTTGTAGATTTTCGGTACAATCTGCGCCGTTCCTCCGAGAACCATTCCAGAAAGATGTCGTGGACGGAGTCCACGGGTCAGCCCTAGTCTCTACTACATTGCAGGGCCCAGTGCGTGCCAGAATGGTGCAGGCTCCAATGAACCAAAACCGCCCCGGGCTGGCTCCGGGCCGCCCAGGGAGGCCCCAAGACACGTCCAGAGGGTCCCAAAAATCCCCCAAGACGGCCCCGGAGAGCCCCGGCACGCTTAAAGATGCGCCCAAGACGTCCGAGAGTCGCCCCAGGCGGCCCTCGAGGCGTCCAAGACGCCCGAAGAGGCCTCCCAAGAGGCCTCCCAAGAGGGCCCCGAGCGACAGAAAGCGTCGATTTCTACTGTGTTTTTCGGTGTTTTCGGCCTCCTCGCCTCTTCGGCTTTCCGACGCTCCAAGACGGCCCAAGAAGTCCCCCCGACCGCTCCAAGACGGCCGAAGAGGACCCCAAGAGAGCCCCAAGACGGGCCAGGAGGGCCCCCAGACGGTCCCAAGACGCCGCAGGACGGCCCCAGGACGGCCCAGGAGGCGCCCAAGACGGCCCAAGAGGCACCCAAGACGGCCCCAGGAGCGGCCCAAGACGGCCCAAGACAGCCCAAGAGCGCCCAAGACGCCCGAGATTCGCCCCAGGAGGCCCTCGAGGCGTCCAAGACGCCCGAAGAGGCCTCCCAAGAGGCCTCCCAAGAGGGCCCCGAGCGACAGAAATCGTCGATTTCTATTGTGTTTTTCAATGTTTTTGGCCTCCTCGCCTCGTCGGCTTTCCGACGCTCCAAGACGGCCCAAGACGCCCCCCCGACCGCTCCAAGACGGCCGAAGAGGATACCAAGAGAGCCCCAAGACGGGCCAGGAGGGCCCCCAGACGGTCCCAAGACGCCGCAGGACGGCCCCAGGACGGCCCAGGAGGCGCCCAAGACGGCCCAAGAGGCACCCAAGACGGCCCCAGGAGCGGCCCAAGACGGCCCAAGACAGCCCAAGAGCGCCCAAGACGTCCGAGATTCGCCCCAGGAGGCCCTCGAGGCGTCCAAGACGCCCGAAGAGGCCTCCCAAGAGGCCTCCCAAGAGGGCCCCGAGCGACAGAAATCGTCGATTTCTATTGTGTTTGTCAATGTTTTCGGCCTCCTCGCCTCGTCGCCTTCCCGACGCTCCAAGACGGCCCAAGACGCCCCCCCGACCGCTCCAAGACGGCCGAAGAGGACCCCAAGAGAGCCCCAAGACGGGCCAGGAGGGCCCCAAGACGGTCCCAAGACGCCGCAGGACGGCGTCCGGACGGCCCAGGAGGCGCCCAAGACGGCCCAAGAGGCACCCAAGACGGCCCCAGGAGCGGCCCAAGACGGCCCACGACAGCCGAAGAGGCGCCAAGGAGGGCCTCAGATGGCCCGAAGACGGCCCAAGAGGCACCCAAGACGGCCCGAGAGAGCCCTAAGAGCCCCCCCGCGAGGCCCAAACGAAGGCCGAAGAGGCTCCGAAACGGCCCCTACGAAGCCTTCAGTGCCTTCAGAATTCCTTCCAGGAGCGGGGGAGCGGACGAGAGGCGACCGGCATATCGAAGGCACAAAAGAACAATGTTGGACGCTCCGAGGGCCTTCGATGTTTCTCTGTTGGGGAGAGTCCTCGTAGGATCGACGATTGCCGACCGAGGGCATGGAGAATCCAGCGAAAGAGGAGAAGAAGGTGGAAAAGGAGGAGGAGGAGGAGGAGGAGGAGGAGGAGCCCGACGCCATCATGATTGCCTTTCGGCCCTGCAGCCGCACCCCCCCGCGCTTGCCCAGAGACCCCTCGCCACGTCGAGCTGATGTCGTGGACGGAGTCCACAGGTCTGCCCTAGTCTGCTACAACGCTGGGATCAGCGCGTGTGAGAAGGGCGAGCAGTGGCAGCGGGCTCTGGCGCTGCTTGGCGAGATCGGGAAGGTTCGGCTAGATCCCGACGTCATCAGCTTCAGCGCTTGTATCAGTTCGTGCGCGAAGGGCGAGCAATGGCAGCGGGCTGTGGCGCTGCTCAGAGAGATGTCAAAGGCGAGAGCGGAGCCCAACGCCATGTCGTATACAGTACATTGCTTGGTGCAGTGCGAGCGAAAAGACATGATTCAGTGTCCAACGATCAACAAACATAAGCCATCCCAGCCATACCGTACCAATTGGTGGAGCGATGCTTGGATTAGAAAGGCTAGCTCAGAGTGTTCTTCGCCTTTGCATGCGAGTGTGTGTTCCTGGATATGGTTCACAGGCCAGTCCTGGGCATACGATCGGTTTGCGCAGCGTTAACGCGGCGGCGACTCCAGCGCGGTCGTTCAAGATTGAACGCCGCCAGTGGCCCAGAGTCGGCCGTATCGAACGATCTGCGTTGCGGGGAAGCCGCGATCGTTCATGATTGAACGTTCCACGCGGCGTCAGAAACCAATGCCGACGGCATCACGATGTGGACCTGCCGGGACCTCGACAGTTGTGTGCCCCAGCCTGTCTAGCGGGTCTCCATCTCAAGTGCGTTCTGCCCACCCCTCTTGGGCTCCCATTGCAGTCCTGGGGAGAGCTCTAGGAACTGGCCCTGAAGTTCTCCAGGGCCCCCCCGAAGCATCAACGACAGCCTTTGTTTCTTCCCAAGGTGAACTCGAGGCGTCTCAAGGTGTGTGTGTGTGTTGTGTTTGTGTGCTTGCGTGCCTTTGTGCGTCTGTGTGTGTGTCTTTGTCTGTCTTTGTGTGTGTGTGTGTGTTTGCGTGTCTTTCTGCGTCTGTGTGTGTGTGTCTTTGTCTGTCTTTGTGTGTGTGTGCGTCTGTGTGTGCGTGTGTGTGTGTGTGTGTCTTTGTCTGTCTTTGTATGTGTGCGTGTGTGTGTGCGTGTGTGAAGCTTCGCCCCCGTGCGAGCGCACGCTTAGCTCTCGGTACTTACCGTGGTGCACCTTGTTGCGGTCTTCGCCGCTCCACGAGGCTCCATCACCCGCCCGACGGCCTCGCCCCGAGTCCCCACGCCGACCCCATCCTCCGAGAGAGGCGCAGCTCGTCGAATGTCCCACGGGGACCCAGCCGGGCCCCAGGGAGCCTCAAGATGGCCCGGAGGACCCCAAGAAAGCCCATGGTCCCAGGAGGGCCCTTTGAAGGCGTCGAGACGGGACAATCAGCCCATTTCAGCACGCAGTCAGCATAGCCAGCAGCAGCAGAGCGAGCAGCAGCAGCCAAGGGAGGCACGCCCTAGTAGCCAGCAAGAACAAGCTTTAGAACGTTTCAAGAGGACCCGACAAGCCAGATAACGATGCAAGCGAACAGCAGTGCCATCAGTAGGCAAATCTCGCAGCAGCAGAAGCCAGGACATGCTTTCATGAGAACGTTGGGAAGGAGCTCACCGCCATTGCGACTGGTGTCTCTCCTCACCGCAGGCTTTTTGTCCAGCGTGTCTCTCCTCACCTGCCAGTCTAGACAGTTTTCGAGGACGGTAGTTCGCAGGTCTGCCGTGGTCAGCTACGGCGCTTCGATCAGCGCGTGCGAGAAGGGCGAGCAGTGGCAGCGAGCTTTGTCGCTGCTCAGCGAGATGCGGGAGGCGAAGCTGGAGCCCGCGGTCATGTGTAACCCCGAACCCGCGGATAATAAATCATACTAATCCCCCCTTCACCACTGAGCGTACTTTTAACACATCCCAGGCGAATGCGAATTTGGTCGGGGAAGGGGGGCAGCAAGGCCCAACTTTATTACCGCGGGGGAAAGTTACGAATCGAAGTTGCTATCTTCTTACGTTGAGTAGCAAGGATTTCGAAGGATTCCTCTGGACTTCCTAAGGATTCCTATGGGTTTCCAAAGGACGTCTACGGACTGTCTAAGGAAATCGGCGGCTGCTTTCATGAATCCCATCGATGACCTAAGGTACCCTATGGATTTCCCAAGACATCCCATGGATTTCCTAAGGAATCCTCTTCATCCTCTTCCTTGCGTTCCCACCCCGAACTTTTTGACCCAGGACCTTTCTTATCACCGCCAACGGGCCGGCATGGACTCCTGTGCATGCGTGATTGAAAATGATTAGGCAGAACGGAGTTTGATTAATAAAAAACTTATGATCCCAAATCAAAGTTTTTTGGAACACTGGTCCTGGGGTTCCTCGTCCTCTTCATCCTCCTCCTCCTCATCATCATCTTCCTCCTATGGATTGTCCTGAGGAACCCCATGGATGTCCCAAGGAATCCCATGGATTTCTGAAGGAATTCTTTTGATCTCCTACGGAAGCCTACCCATCGGTCGTTGAAAGTAGGTAGTGTTGGAATCCCAGATTCCAATCTACTTTAAGCGCCTTCCCACTTCAATGATCGAGTGCCTTTGCCTTTTCCGTCCTCTTCAGGGGGCGGACGGACAGCCAATCTATTTCCAATGCCTTCCCACTTCATGTTTCTACCTACTTACTCCGACCGGTCGGTAAGGATGTCTTAAGGGATCCGATTGACCTTCTAAGGATCGTCTTTCTCAGTATCATCGTTTGCATGGTCATCATTCTGTTGAGGTCTCTGGGAACACGTTTTTTTATCCCTGCTGGACCCCGAACTTTCTTATCCCCAGGGGACTCACATCAGGGGCGGTCGGTTACCACGGTGCCGCCGGGGGCAGCGTGCGCGCAGAGGACAACTCACGAACAGCAGTTCGCTCAGGCAGACTCCCAGGGCGCGGGCTCCAGACCCCCGTGGCGCCGCCCTCGTGGGGCACCGTGCCGACCGGCGGGCCCCTGACTCCGGGCGCCCGGCGCCCAAGACGGGCCCAGGACTCGGGGCGCCAGCCGGCCCTGAGATCTTCGAGCAGTAGGAAGAGCGTCCCGGCTCGCCTATAGGCCCACCAAAGAGTGTTCTGAGAACCTTTGGTGGTCTGCGCGACATGTTCTCAGAACACTTCTGGCTGACACGGTCTTGTTTTAGCACATCAGGCTCACGTTCTAAGCACATGGTTTTTGGTTCATGGGAACATGCTCGGGTTCTAGGAATATTTCGTGGTAGGCCTATAGGAATGCTGGGACGGTCGGTCCTTGCTCAAGATCTGGGCGGTGCCAGTTCTTCTCGGCGGGCGCTTTCGCCCCCGATGTTCGGACCCCGGGGCCATCACATATCGATGCGGCCCAGGAAAATGCTGCAGTGCGATGGGGTCTCGGGCTTCGGTGGTGTTTTTGATTTCGCTAAAAATCAGACAACAAACCACACAACCACCACTGCTCGATAACACCAACCCCCAGAGGTTACAGCGGTTCGGCAACCAACCCTCAGAGGTGATGATGTGTTATATTATGTGTGTTGATGTTGTCGTTGTCGTTGTCGTTGTCGTTGTCGCTGTTGCTGTTGCTGTTGCTGTTGCTGTATATGTTGTTGTAGTTGTTGTTGGTGTTGTATGTGTTGTTGTTGTTGGTGCTGTTGTTGTTGTTGTGTTGCGGTTGCTGTTGCTGTTGCTGTTGATGTTATTCTTGTTATTGCTGTTGTTGGTGGTGTTGTTGTTGTTATTGTTGTTGTTGTTGGTGTTGGTGTTGTTGTTGTTGTTGTTGTTGTTGTTGTTGTTGTTTGTTCGTGGTTGGGGATGAGCGCTGGGGCGATGCTGCAGCTGTGCGCGACTTCGGACCTCGGGGTGGCGGCGCCTCCGTCGCTCCACGAGCCGCCCAGGTGGCTCCCCAGGCGTCGGCTCCCGCGCTCAGACGATCTCCGGCCTCCGTGCTGTCTTGTGCGGCTGCGGGAGAGGGCCTCCGGCACCGACCCCGAGGCTTCACAAGAGCGCCAGAGCCCCACAAGAGCTCCCAGGCTCGGGCCGGCCAAAAGGAGGGGGGAATAGGGAAAAGGGGGGGGTACGAAATCTGCTGCGTGCAGCTGGTTTCGGCCCCGCCGAGGGGCCCATTCCTTGATACATGGCCGCCTCCTGGCGCCGGGAGGCGACAGGAAAATCAGCTATGTGAGCTGATTCTTACCCCCCCCTTTGCTATCCCCCCCTTTCGCCCGGCCCGACAAGACCAAGACGTCCCGAAGAGAGAGCCAGATGGCCTTGCTGGCTGGCCTACAAGATGTCCCCCAAGTCGGCTCCCGAACGGCCCGCGAGACCTCCCTGGACGACCCCCCCAGCTTTCAAAGAGCATCTCCAGGCCCCCAGAGTCTCAAAAAGAATCCCCAGAGACCCCAAAGCAGAGCCTCCATAGCTCCAGAAAGCTCTGAGCAAAGCCCAAGGAGGCCCCCAAACAGGGCGGCAAGAGAGCCCGAGAACGTCCCGCGAGAGCGCATCCTCAGACACCAGGGGTTTCAAGCTTCACGACTGTCACACGACCCCCTCCTCCGCTGTGGGGCCCGCGAGTGCGTTCACGCGGACGTGCTTAACGGGTACCCGCAGTTGCACCCTCAGGCCTCCGCTGGCGTGCGGGTCATGGCCAGGGGGCAATTGCAGCCCTCAACGGCACATTCTATTTTACATTACCTGACAAACCCCTTATCCTAAGCCGCCCTACATTACCAGGCAATCTCGTATTCTAGGCCATCCTGTTGATATTGTGCCCTTGTGGTTGCTATCCTCTGTCCGCTCGGCTACCAGGACCTGCCAGCACAAAAGGAACTAGAAGCATCAGCAACGGTCATGAGCTCGCAGCAAAAACAAGCAGCAGCAAGCAGAAACCTTACATGCAGCAAGTCACAGCGAGCAACACAGGCAATACCGAGCGGTGGAAAGCCGCAGCAAAAGGGAAGCAGGCAACGTTGACATCCCAATGCGCTAAGGAGCAGCACCCCCACGAGGCTTCGCATGTGCGTGTATTCCGCATGCGCGTGTTCAATGGTTGCTTCCTTCTCCATGCTCAGGTGTCCGCGAGCTTCTCTGGTTCCGCTCGCCTCCCTGGCTTCTCCAGACTTCTCCAGGCCTATTGCTACTGATACCGATGCACCGTCACTCTTCTCAGCCAAAGTCTGCGCATCATAACTCGGGCGAATGTGGCCCACGCACGCACTGGTCTCTCCTGCAATGCAGGAACCTCCGCGTGCCAGAAGGTGCTGTGCATCATTTGTTTGATTTGCCTCCCGGAGGCCCTGGGATGCCGAAAAGCGCCCTTTGGGTAGCTCCCACACAGGTTTACGAGCCTCGGGCCACGCCTCCCATACGGCCCAGCGGAGCAAAAAGATGGCCGAAGAGGCGCCCAAGACGGCCTTGAGGGGAACATGCATTTGTGGCTTACTTGCTGTTTTGTTTTCGCAGCGTTCCAGCAGGCCCTGGAGGACCCCCAAGTTCTCCCAAGACAGCCTCAGAGGCCCCCGCCAACAAGGCGCCAAGGACGGCCCAAGAGGCCCCCAAGAGAGGGAACTCGAACTGACATATCGCGCTCCACGCCCTAAGATGACCCCCGAGACCACCATCAGGCCCGCAAGAGGCTCCCCAGAAGCACAAGGAGGCCTCAAAGACCCCAACATCAGGGCCCAAGAGGCCCCAAGAGGGTCCCGAGAGGCCCAACGAGACCCCAAAGCCTTGAGGAGGCTTCCGAGGGGAGATCCCCAGGGAGATCCGTGACCGTGCTGGCCACCCAAGAGAGCCCCGTGAGCGAAGGAGGCCGGGTGCACCGAGGCCATGAAGACATGTGCGTGCCGGCTTCTTCGCATGCCTCCCCCCTCTCGCTCCTTGCTCATCCCTCCACGCTCCTCGCTCCTCCCCGCTCTCTCCTCGCCCCTCGCCTCCCTCTCCTCGCTTCTGGCCCCTCTGTGCTCACTTCTCCTCGCTCCTTCCTCCTCTCTCCCGGTCCCTCGCTGCTCCGTCCTGGCTGCTGGCGCCTGCCTCCCCTCCCCTCTTCGGCTCTCCCTTATCCTTCCTCGCCTTCCTCTCTCTCTCTCTCTCTCTCTCTCTATCTCTCCTCGGCCGTTGCTCCTCCCTTCTCGCTCCGTGCTCCTCGCTCCTCCCTCCTCGCTCCCCCCACCTCCCCCCTCGACCCTGACTCCTCGCTCCTGATCCTCGCTCCTCGCTCCACTCACGAGCTGCAAATTGCGTCATGTAAGAAGGCCGCCAGGATACAGCACTCTGCACACTCAAGCAGCAACAGCGAGCAACAGCAGCCCGCAGCAGGCAACGGCAGCACAGCAAAAGCAAGTAGCATCAGCAACATGCCGCAGCAGCCTGCAGCTCCAGGCAGCAACCAGCAGGGGCGAAGTTCGGGCCCAACGCCGTCACGGAAGCCTGTCGGCAACACCTTTGCCCTGGTCCGACGTGCCATCTCGGGCTTGCTTCGTGGCCAGTAGACCACGGGTCAGCCAGCCCTGGTCTCTCACACCCTCCTCCCTCCTCCCTCCTCCCTCCTCCCTCCTCCCTCCAGCGTGCAAGGAGGGTTTCTGCATCAGGGGGTCCCCCTCGGCCCCGCAGCGCCCCCAGGGTTCCCCAGATGCTCCGACGCAGCCTCGGACGACCTCAGGACGGCCCTGAGAGGCTCGAGGGAGCGCCTCAGAGCACCCCCCTCGGAGCCCCAAGACAGCCCCAGAGGTCCCAAAGGCATGCCAGGCCCAGGAGAGCTCCACGAGGCAGACGTCACTGTCTCTGTCGTCTAGAAAGCGGACGAGACGCGAGAGGCAGATCGCAGGCCCCAAACA